ACTATATTTAAAAATAATTTTTCCAGGACTACAATTCTGGACGGGGCTATGTTTAACCCTTTTGGTTGGAGATGGCCTAACCGGAGTCCGGTAATGTTATCATGTTTAACCCAATAAATCATTGAGTAGGCTATGTTTAGCCCTTTCAGTTTGAGATGGTACATGAGTATGGTCTAACACTACATTTAAAAATAATTTTTCGAGGACTACAATTCTGACGGAGCTATGTTTAACCCTTTCGGTTGGAGATGGCCTAACCGAAGTCCGGTAATGTTATCATAGTTAACCACAACACCACCACCACCACAGCAAAAGAAGTGAATGTTTTATTCATAAAATCTGTTATTGAAAGTACTAGAGCGCAGAAACTTGTTGCGGTTGAAAGAGAAGTGCCAGCCCTGTACGCTTACAAAACAAACATCTTCTTCACTAGCTACAGCTACAAGTAAACTAGTTATTTAAATGCTCGACTTCATCTCTCCGGGTGCTGCTGAGTACACATGAGAATTCCAGGATGGGTTCCGTGGGAGAAAAGTGTCCTGCCAAATCCATCAAAAACAGTAGCATATATCAACCCTATAAAATAACACAAGGAGAATACCCACAATTTTTTTATGATCTCAAAAGTAAATCCTGCACTAACCCTCTTAGTACCTTTCTCATCCCTCGTTGTCACATGATGAACGAGATACTTTTGATGTAAATAATGTAACTTTTCTTTTTTTTTTTAGGGTCATATACACATGGTTGTACCAAAAAAACCCCTTTACTTGGGAGAAAAGGAAGGATGATGAGAAAAAAAGAAAGCGTTGCCAAGGCACCGATTACTAGTATACAAATCGCGAGCGGGGCTACCATCCGGGGCACCAAAAATATTAGGGTACTTTATGTAAGTTTATGTTATGTTCGTATAAATAGTCAACATTTTAACTAATCATCAAAGTGTTTGCGATGGTATTTGTTACATTTATAATGTATGAGTTTACGTGTTCGATTCCTCGTAATGTCTCTCTTCTCTTTGTTTGTTAAATTATTTAAAATACACATGAGCATTTTTCTTTTTCTACAGGCACCAAATTATTTCTCAGTTAATTTTAATATGTATATATATTGTTTTTTAAATTATTTAAAATACACATGTACATTTTTCTTTTTCTACAGGCACCAAATTATTTCTCAGTTAATTTTAATATGTATATATATTAAAAACCAAAAAAAAAAAAAAAAAAAAAAAACTAGCACATGAACGGTGTTCTCCTTTTTGAAGAAAATTAGTCAAGTGAACGGTGTCTCCTTTAAAGAATAAATAAATAAATTTAAACTTTCTTTCTTCGTCTCATTAGTGATTCAACGCCAAAAAAAATTCAAAACTTTGTCATCTTGATTTTTACAACCGTGCTGCCGCCAAAAGGTGCAAGTGTTTTTGTATAAAAATTAGGCTTTAATTTTATAAATTGAAAACTAAAAATCAATGAGGAATTGATTTAGCTGATCAATGAAGAGAAGATGGAAATACATTGCTCGTCTTGGATCCATTACTCAGCAAATAGGAATGAACAAGACGATGGTTGCAAACCCACACACGCCTATAACATGACTCAACTCACGTGCACAGCACATGCACAAACTTAAGACACACAGCTACTATAACATATTTCATTCATACAGCCTATGAGCTAGTTCTAATCTTAGCAGTTGATTACAAACAATAACATAAGAACAAATAAACCCATAAATTCAACATTTAGACAAAATATAATCCGTACAAATAATAACATCTTTTGTACAATTCTAGAGTTTTGAGTGCCTTCATCTTAATATATAGCTCTTCAATTTATTTTATTTTAACTTTTAATCTTGACATCGTTTATGATTGTGCTCCCAATTCCCAAAGGGTAAAAGAAATGACACTTCTTCATTTGGCTTGGGAATATGCCAAATTCCCAGATTTCCAATTCTTATCAATTAATCACTAACGCCCAGAAATCAATCCCAAAAAAATGAAAAAAAGGGATACTTGATGCCATAAAAATTTAAAACTGAGACAACCCCAGTAAGAGGAATTGGGGAGAGAGAGAGGTGGAGACTTACAGAGACGTAGGAGCAGGTGGGGATGACGGAGAGGGAGTGGGACTGAGCGTGGTTGAAGGCGGCGACGCAGAGGAGAGAAGCCAGACCCAAGCCTCTCTTGGAAGAAGGGACGAAGGTGTGGACCAAGTCCATCACTGTCCCCTTCTCCCTCAGCACGTACTCAATGTACGCCTCATGGTCCTCCGTCTCGAACCTCCGCTTCCCTGAATTCCACACTATCTTCGGACCCTCTGCCTCCGATGAACCCGCCGCCGCTGCTGCTGGTGCTGCCATTTTCTCAATTTATCCTTCTGCTGTCTGTCGTGTGTCGTCCTCTATCTCCGCTCTCTTTCATATAAATACCAAAATGCCTGAAAACTCTTGAACACGCTGCTGGCACGTGATTAATGCTTTCTTATTAATTTTCGCTTGGTCACAAGAATTTTTTTTTTCTTTTTTTTTCTTTTAACCAATGATATTATCTAGTTATCTACACCAAGAGTGGGATAATGAACTAAGCCTAATAATGAGTTAGCAATAATATGTTTCAAATTCTCCTTTAACGAAAATCGAATATAAAACATTTCGCTTACAAGTGAAAAAGAATATCATTGATCCTACGTTTTGGACTGAATTTTAGCCAATCTCATTTAGCAGAATAAGTATTTTTGTTGTTGTTCGGTTGAATTTGATAAGCTAATAGGTTGTACATTCACATTCCATTGTGTACTTGAAATTTGTTCCCTTTTGTGTTTGGTTAAGCACTCTTCATGAAAAGTAAATTCCTTGTTTACGATTTGCGTAGTTTTAGTAACGTAAGTACTTCAATTGCCAATCACAAGATGCTTTACAACATAACGAATTAGAGAAAGAGATGGTTAGATGGTACTTGATATGTATTGTTTAGAGGAATGTGAGTTTTTCGTCGGTCACAAGATGCCGATACTTCCATGGTAATGAAATAAGCTGATGTCTTTCTTGTTTTGAAAGCTAAGCGGAAGAGCTCAAATGAAATAAGATTGGGTTTTTTACCCTTTTAAGTTTCGCGTCTCCCTCCGATAATTACTGGTTTCATCATTGCATATAACAGAACGTAATAGTAATATAATCTTAAATTCATCATTCACAAAAGTTAAACTTTGGACATTTCACTTACAAGTAGAATATTTTATTGCTTAACAATAATGAAGAAAAGACACTTAATACTACAGTCTAGTGATACTCATCTGCACTTAGGTTCAAATCTCGAATCTTAGTGTAAATATATCGTAGTACTAGTGACAATGAACATTTGAATTACTTTGCGTTGAAGTTTTTTCATTATGGTGGGGTGAGTTGAGAAAAACGAAACACGTGATAACTCATGTAATCAGAGATTAAGATTGATCGCAACGAACAAGATCTTGTTAATTAATTCGTCCATTCTATGGGTTTAAGATCCCAGAATTGATGTGTAAGCCTCAGAGAGTGCAAACTGTAGAGCATGTGCAGACTACTAATTTCATTGTCGATACATGCAAAAATAATCTACCACCTTCATATCAAGAATGTTTCGTCCCTTCATCTCATCCTGTTTTTTCTTTTTTTTTTTAAAAAAAGAAAATTATTTCATTTTATTTTTTAAACAAACGATATTATCTACACTAAGGGGTGGGGGAGTGGACCAAGTCTCAAAATGAGCTAACAATAATATGATCCAAATTCGTCTTTGGTGAGAATCGAACCGAAACTGCCAAACCGAACCGAAAAAAAATAATTTATATATAAATACTCAAAAATGTGTTGGTGTCAGGGTTTGAACCCCTGACCTATAGGTGGGATGGTTGTTTCAAGACAACTTGACTATGGGTTTATGTTGTTATCATTGAAGCAGTAATTTATTTATAGCTTTCTAATATGTAATGCTTTTATAAAATTTCTTAAATTTACAAACCCTAGCCGTTACTCTCTCTTCCATTTCAATTTTCACCTTTTCTCATACACTCTCTCTCTCCCCTCCGCTACTTTCTTCCTATCTCTCTACTTCCTCAGTCTCTCTCTCTCTCTCTCTCTCCCTCCAAATCACTCTCTCTCCAGTCTTCTCCTGTTCTCCTCGCAGATTCCTTCTTTCAAATCATAATTTTCCCTCGCCCCTTTCGAATCGGAAGTAGAGGAGGATGGCAGAGGGAGTTCGAATCAGTTCAATCTCTTCCTTGTTTTAACTATTAATTTAAAAAAAGATTTATTTTTTTTTCATTTTGGTTGATTTTAATTTGGTTGTGTTTTTGTGTTGTGTTGTTGGTTGATTTTAATTTGGTAAATTAGGAGTTTTCTGTTTGTGGTTTATGAAATAGTTTTTCTACTGTTACGGATTGTAAACATTGTTTACAATCTGTAAGTATTACCCTCTTCTCCATAACCCGCAGCAAAGATCCCCAATCTCTCTTATTTATGTCAATTTATGGGTGTTTTTATGCTGCACCTGTTTTGCTTTTCTTGATTGTGCATGGTAGTAGAAGGGTGAAATGATAGATGTCAGCTGTAATGCATAATTCAAATTTCTTGAATGTAATTTGATTCACTTGGAAATTAAGAAATGCAAGGATTGTTGTTTAATTGCTGATGAGCAGCTTAAATCTCATATGTTTCCTGATGGTGCACATAAATTTCTTGATTGGATTAGATGTAATTTGCCAATAACCAGTTGCATATGTTTGTTTTAAGGTATCTTATTAAGTGCATTTGCGGACTGATTGAAGAATGTATTCAATTTTTTCGGCAATTCAGAATTATTTTTGCTATTGAAGAAGAAGACGAAGAACGGGAGGATAAATAAAATTTAAAAAAAAAAAAAACCGAACCGTTTCGAACCGAACCCAGCCCTACTGACTGCATCCATTGCTCCAGGAATATCATATACTGGAGCATAATAAAACTTTTGCCAAGGATCCTTGAGCAAACAACTATTCAATTAGCCACTTACAAAAGCAAAATATTGAAAAACACCAAACGTCTTCAGCAGGGTGAAGTTTTCATTAACTAATCTGTCCTTATATGAGGAAGGAGAAAATTAACATTCGGAACAATTGTTTCTTCATAACTACAAGCATGGTGCAGTTTAAATAATGTACTTCTAACTAAAAATTAACCAAGTTTTATAGTGATAGCACCATCTTAAAGGAATCAAAATAATACGATCTTCAAATAATATAGAGGAGCAACAAACTTGCCTTCCTTAATCCGCACGAGATTGGCCTGATCGGGATGAGAGGATGATCCCCACGATCAGACCGTACAAGGCAAGAGCTTCTGCAAAGATGAGGATAAGAATCATACCAACAAAGAGCTTTGGCTGCTGTGCATTAGCCCTGAAAAATAAAATCCAAAACAAAATATGAATAAAAACATCATCCACTTGACATGTTATGATTCTTCTATACAAGAACGAATGTTGTAACCTTGTACCTTTGAAAAATATCAAGAGAAAAAGGGAGAAACAATTCAATCGCGTGCAAAAACAACTGAACTAAAAAGGAACCGAGCTTTTGAAAGCGGAGAATCCAAACAATGACCAACTTTATTGACAATGAGACAATTGTCTAGACAACAAAAACTGGGATCTTCTCAACCAAGTGTTTTTCAATTACCTGCTGGTGCTGCTGCGATTATTGTTTTGAGCCTTTTGACGCATTAACACATTAACTCAAAGTTTGCAATTCGAATAACAATCGCATCATGTAGCCAGCCTCACACTTAAGCGCAAACACAAAATTAAAATGCAGAAATAACACTCAATGCAACTGAACTGCATTCACCTATTTCCTTGGAACTAAATGTGAATAGGTTGAGTCTTATCGAAGTACCAAATACTCAATAAAAACGTGTTTCTACATAATTACCACATATCTACATTCCACATTACGCAAACAAATAACCACCGACTTTTTCTAACAATTGGCACACCAAAAATCTACCCCCTCTGGGCCTCCCCTTGTAGTATCTTGATTAATGCCACTTTCATACGACACACAGAAGTGCTTTCATATAAAGCCCCAGTGCTTCTCGGTATCCATCTAGCAGCCCTTATCGAACTATTTTCTGATTTCACCCAAAAACTCCCAAATTTTTACATTCAAAAGCTTTGTTGGCACTCCAAAAGACACCCTTAATCCTCAAGGGTTAATGACTTTATTTCACCCAAACTTTTTCTTCAATTACATCTCCAAACTAATTACAACATAATCTTACAATTATGACTAATAAGAACAACCAAACAAAATGGGTTTAGTCAAATCCTGCTAAAACTACGAAACAAACAAGAATTAAGAACCAAGAGTGAAAGGGTTACCGGACACCGGCGTCACCGACGATCCCAATCGCCATTCCGGCGGAGAGGCCGGCCAGACCGCAAGCAAGGCCAGATGACAAGTGAGCATACCCATCAAACAGATAATAGGATTTGGCCTTTGGGTTGATCCCGGTACTAATAATCACAGCTATGATAAGCCCATAGATCCCGAGCACTCCAGCCATAACCACCGGAACGATCGATTTCATCACGAGCTCCGGCCGCATCACTCCCATGGAGGCCACGCCCACGCCGCTCTTCGCCGTCCCATAGGCGGCGCCCATGCCTGCGAAATCATGAGAAATTCGAATCGAAAGATCAAAATTTAGAGGAAAATAAACGAAATTGAAAAGCCTTGAAGAAATCAAATGAGATTACAGGAGAAGACGAGGGCTGCGGCGGCGCCGAGGAAGCCGAAGAAGGGAGCGGTTTCGTCGCCGCTGAAGGTAGAAGAAGCCATGTATCCCTGGCTTTGTGTGAGTGGGGGTGCTTGGTTGCGGGGATTGGGTTGCGCGTGCGAATATGAGGTTTGGATGAAGACGACGAAGCTCTGGTTTTAGTCGTTCGACAATGAATCGAATTCTGTCTTGGGGATTTTAGAGAGGGAGAGAGAAAGAGTTGAATTGTAGGAGGACGGTTGATTTTTAGGTTTCCCAAGGTGTCCCCAGGCAAAGCCCAGGACTAATCCTGCGAGGTACGCTTGATTTTTATTAGAGTGCTTCGCGGCTCGCGGTAACTTACCGTTGTAAGTTTGCAACCAACTTTTTACTAATCACACCTTCCAAATAAAACAATTAAAAATAAGAAAAACTAACCAAAAATGCTTGAAAAGTTTAACTTTTAACTAAAAATCACATTGAAAGTTTATTTAATGGTTAGTATAAAGCCCATTTTTATATCAGCCCAAATACAATAGTCCAGACTAAATAACATTGTGGTTTGTCAATTTTACCCCTAACGGATGTGGTTAACCTAATTTAACTATTCTGTTAGATTAGTCGGTTTGGGGTTAGCCGAACATATAAACTAAAGGAAAACTAACCAAAAGGGCTTGAAAAGTTTAACTTTTAACCAAAAACCACATTGAAAGTTTATTTAATGGTTAATACAAAGCCCATTTTTATATCAGCCCAAATACAATAGTCCAGACTAAATAACATTGTGGTTTGTCAAATTTACCCCTAACGGATGTGGTTAACCTAATTTAACTATTCTGTTAGATTAGTCAGTTTGGGGTTAGCCGAACATATAAACTAATTGAATTTTAATTTTTGCCGACCAGTTTCAGTGGGATTTTCAATTTTTTATGAATCTGGTTGAGTGGTTTGAGTAATGCTTGCCGACGAATGTTGAGAGCGCATTTTGAAATCGTGATCGCCGTTGTTCTTCGTTCCTGTTAGGGGGATTTTTCCAGAATAAACATTTGTTTCAGAACAAATTCGCAGTGGTTGCATATTTTGAGATTCTATTGAATCGTTGTCATCGATGTTGTTCGTTGTGCTTGAATATTTTAACTGGAGTGATCATCTTTCATATTTGGTTAGATTTTCGTTTGGAGGTAATCGACATTGTTTTTGTAGTTTTGTATTCGATTTTGAATTTGATTTTTTGTTTAATTCGAATTCGATTTTGAATTCGTTTTTGTATGTAATATGCTTCGCTTTTTATTTGACTTTATATATTGTTATTGATTTGTTTTCAGAATAGCAGATTGATTCGGTTTGTGAACTTTTCAGTTAGGAGTTTCGAAGAATCTCAGGTAAGTTTTGATTTGTTTGTTTTTTTTTTTTTTGTTTTTTAAATTGGAATTCGATTTTGAATTCTTTTTTGCATGAATTATGCTTAGCTTTTTATTTGACTTGTATATTGTTGTTGATTTGTTTTCAGATTAGCAGATTGATTCCGGTTTGTGAAATTTTCAGTTAGGAGTTTCTTATTTCGAAGAATCTCAGGTAAGTTTTGATATATATTTTTTTTTTTTTGGTTTTGTTTTGTTTATATTGTATGTTGGTCATCTTGATTTTGTTTTCTTTTTCTGAAATTTATTATGAATTAATTCGTGTTATACACATTTGATGTTGTTTAACATTTTTTTCAGAAATAGTGTTTCTTTTTTTATGAAACAGTGTATATTTTCAGTTTTTTCTGTTTTTGTGATTCTTGTGTTTTATAACTAGTGTAATTTTGTTCACTTTATATGTATATTGTTTAACTAATAGGTGTTCATCAAACTGAACTATTTATCAAAGTGAACTAGAAAACCACATTTTTTTACCAAAGCAAACTGAACTATTTATCAAACTGGCAAACTGAACTATTTAGCAAACAGAAGTACAAAACCACACTATTTTACCAAAATAAACTGAACTATTTATCAAAGTGAACTAGAAAACCACACTTTTTTACCAAAGCAAACTGAACTATTTATCAAACTGAACTATTTAGCAAACTGAACTATTTATCAAACTGAACCATTTAGCAAACTGAACTATTTATCATACTGAAGTAGAAAACCACACTTTTTTACTAAAACAAACTGAACTATTTATCAAAGTGAACTAGAAAACCACATTTTTTTATGAAAGCAAACTGAACTATTTATCAAAGTGAACTAAAAAACCACACTTTTTTACCAAATCAAACTGAACTATTTATCAAACTGAACTAGAAAACCACACTTTTTTACCAAAGCAAACTGAACTATTTATGAAACTGAAGTAGAAAACCACACCTTTTTACCAAAACAAACTGAACTATTTATCAAAGTTAACTAGAAAACCACACTTTTTTACCAAACCACACTTTGTTTATATTGTATGTTGGTCATCTTGATTTTGTTTTTCTTTTTCGGAAATTTATTATGAATTAATTCGTGTTATACACATTTGATGTTGTTAACATTTTTTCAGAAACAGTGTTCTTTTTTTATGAAACAATGTATATTTCAGTTTATTTTTTGTTTTTGTGATTCTTGTGTTTTAGAACTAGTGTAATTTTTTTCATTTTATATGTATATTGTTTAACTAATAGGTGTTCATCACATTTTATGTTTTTAACATTTTTTAGAAATAGTGTTCTTTTTTTATGAAACAGTGGATATTTCAGTTTACTTTTTGTTTTTGTTTGTTTTTTGTTTTTTTTTTTGTGATTGTTGTGTTTTATAAATAGTGTTATTTTTGTTCACTTTATATGCATATTGTTTAATTATTAGGTACTGATTTGTTTTACAAAGATTTGAATTTAAATTTGCAACCGATTAATAAACAGTTGTTGTTTATTAATAAATAGTTATGGAGAATGGTAAACTAGCTCGGTTTACATATGGTGGTTTATGCGTCGTTAGTTCTATTTCATCATCTTCTACCTTCAATCAGATTTGCATTGATCTTTGTTCTAGGTTTAAGGGTTTGAGAGTTGGTTGTTTTGAGTTGCGATATGGTTTGAATGAAAATCCTAATTGCGTGTTAGATTGTGATGCTGATGTTCTGAACATGCCGATGGTTCTTAATGTTGTTGGGAAATCGATTGTAGAAATATTGGTTATAGATAAATGTGATGGTTCCATAGTTTAGTTACCTGCGGAAAGCACATCTTCTTCTTGCCGTACATTAGACTCTATGATTGTTTCTAGTGAAAATGATCATTTAGGAAAGTATGGTTCTTATGGTGTGCACAATTATATGTCATGTGAATGGGACAATTACATAGAATCTGAGGGGCAAGTCTTTAGGGGAGGTTGTGTTGATTTCCGAGATAAGTTGAAGAAGTTTTCTGTTGAATGTGGTTTTGATTTGAAGTATTTGAAGAATGATAAGAATCGCATTAGTGCAAAGTGTTCTAGGAAGGAATCTGATGGCTGTCTTTGGCGTGTGTATGCATCCAAGTGTGATATTAATAACTTTTTTATTATTCGGAAGTTGCATAATCTGCATACATGCAAGGGTATGATTCGAAAGAAGAAAAACAAAGTTGTTGGCCGACAATTTGTTGCTTCTCTCATCAAGGATAAGGTTCAGTCAAATCCTCTTATTAAACCGAAGGAGATCATTTCAAATTTAAAACAGTTTTATGGATTAGATATCGATTATTCTACTGCCTATTTTGGCAAACAGAGGGCAGTTTTTGAGTTAAATGGTGTTGATGTTGATGCTTACAAGTTCTTGCCTCGGTATGTTGAATCTGCTCGTTCAAGCAATCCTGGATCTGTTTTTGAGCTTGAAGTTGTATCGGAGAGCAATAGATTTCTTCGTTTGCTTATTGCTTATGATGCATGGATAAAAGGGTTCATGTTTTGTTGCCCGATGTTATTCATTGATAGTACTTTTATCAAGAGCAAATACAAGGGAACACTTGTGTCTTGCTGTGCAAAAAATGGTAACGATGGTGAGTTAATAATTTCAGACTTTTATATTGGATATTATTTGTTTCTGTTTTCTTACTGTACAAAAGAAACATATCCAGAACTAGTTGAAGAACAGTTTAAGAAATAGTTCAATCAGTCTCATAAATAGGTGATACTTTGACTGCATCTGTTTTTTTTTTTTTTTTGTGCATTTGTCTTTGATTTTATGTTCAAATAAAGAAAAAAGGTTGCAGAAGTAGTTCAAACAAAGTATACTAAATAGTTCAATTACAGTTTCAGAAGTAGTTGACATTTGACAGTGCATTTTCACTTATGTTGTGCAGAGATTTTTGAGCTTGCTTATGCTATTGTTGATTCAGAAACGATAGCAAATTGGAGATGGTTCTTGGCAATATTATCTGGTATATTGAGGCCTCAAAGGAGGGTGATCACATTTATGTCAGATAGACATGATGGTATTTTGAAGAGCATTCGAGAATTCTTTCCCGAGTGTCCACATTCATTTTGTATTGTTCATTTGAAACAGAATGTGAGTACTTTATTTCCAAAGGCTGCTGGTGAAAGACTAAAGAAGAAAATGATGAATCTATTGGCAAATTGTGCGTACGCATGTACCCCATCTGATTTTGATGATTGCATGGCTGAATTCAAGGATAATGGGCAAGGGCATGTGAAGAATTTTTTGTGTGATTTGCCAAAAGAGAACTATGTTATTGCCCATTTTCCTGGTAAGAGATGGGGATCGATGAGCAATGCACTTTCAGAATCTTTTAACGCCATGGTGTCGAATAGTCGTTGTATGCCACTTATGGATCTTCTTGAAGACATTAGAGTTCGGTTGATGGGTAGTATGGCTGAGAAAAGAATATTTGGTCAGAATATTCATACGATTTTGTGTCCAAAGAAAGAAAATGAGATGAAGTTGATGTTGAAGGAGGGCATGCATTGGAGGATTAGTCGTTCTGATGCGGATGTTTTTGAAGTTAAGACAGAGTGGAATCGGTTTGTTGTTTGTCTGGATGATAGGACATGTTCTTGTGTGCAATGGCAGCATAATTATTTCCCATGTTCTCATGCTTTGCAGGTGTTGCAACATGATAATCGTGATGTTTTTTTATTACGTTGATGATTACTGGAAAGCAAGTTTTTATCGGAAAACATATCAATTTGTCATGCATCCATTTTCAGATTTGGAAAAATCGAATGTTGATACTATCATAAATGGTGTGAGGCCTCCAATTACAAAGATTCCGTCTGGAAGACCAAAGAAAACTAGGATCAAATCTACTGGGGAAATCAGTGGGAGTAAGAAGATTGTCACTTGCAGTAGGTGTGGTTGTTCGGGACATAACAAGGTTTCATGTAAAGTTGTTATACAAGAGGGTTGATTTTTTTTCTTTTTTGTTTTGAGAGATGGGAGTTTTTGGTGATATGTACCAGATTTTCATTTTGGATATTTTTTTTTATTTTGTTTCAATTGGTGTTTGGGAGTATGTAATTGTTAATTTGGAATTATGTTCGAGTAATAAATATGAATTCAATGTTTTAGTATTTCCAGTTTTACGAAACAGTATGTTGAGTTTGATAAATAGTTCAGTTTGATAAACAGTAAATACATATCTATGTTTATGGCTTTGTGGTTTCAATATCTATTTTGTAGGTTGTATGTAAGTTCGTGTGTTGCATTTTGTAGGAGGCAAGTATGTTGGTTTTCATTCTTGATCTAGTTAATATTCCATTTTAGGTAAGAGAAAATGAAAAAAAACCACACTACTTATGAAAGTGAAGTAGAAAACCACACTTTGTTACCAAAGCAAACTGAACTATATATCAAAATGAATTATTTATGATAGTGAACTAGAAAACCACTTTTTTATCAAAGCAAACTGAACTATTTATCAAACTGAACTAGAAACCCACACTTTTTAACAAAGCAAACTGAACTATTTATCAAAATAGATTAAAATTTAGATTAAGTCATGAAACAAATATATATATATATATATATATATATAGAGTTGTGTCAAACATGTTTGACAATGACATTTGTAAATCATAGCAAAAGTAAGCTTGAACATGTAAGTATTGCTTCAGTTTAGACCAATACTTTCCACCATCTCTCAGATTTTCATCTTGAACCTTAAAAAGTACATCCGCATCAAAATTACATATAATGCGTATTTTTTATTTTTTATTCTAATGTCCAATGCTTGTGAGCTGTTGTGAGATTTCGATATATGCTTCAAACTATACATATATATAACTAAAATGCTTTTAATTTTATAACGTACGATGTTGGTTTCTGTTGTGCACAGGTTCTGTCTTCTTTGACTTGGAATTCAAAGTCACTTTTGATGGAATTCAAAGTCACTTTTGGTTGTGCATTTTTGCTTACCACTATTTCTGCATTTTCCCAGTAGCAATCAAAGTCCAGATCTTCATCTGTTGTGCTTTGTCGAAGAGAATTGTAGTGAATCATTTTTGCATTTTTTGTGTCCAAAACTACCAAGGATAAATGGTTGTAATGAAACAATGGGAAGAAAATCTTTGATACTATTCCATATTGGTCCATCAATTGGTTGTATAGCCTTTCCTTGTTTTGCAGAGTTGTTTCAATGCTTTGTTCATTGATGTTGTGCTGTTGAAAATGAAAATCATCAAACCTCATAATTACGGATTAATTGTTCTAAGTTTTATATGTATATGTAAATAATTTTATGTAGAATATTAGTTGTTTTGTTTGCTCACAAAGATTGTTGTGGAGACATAGAAGTTCTTTTGTTTTGTGATGTTCTCTTTTTCTCTTTTCAGGTAGCAGAAAGAATCAACAATCTGAGTTGATGGAGGTCCATTTGCCATCAAACTGTGCAGGTCTTCTTTCAACACCATTATTCTGTAATAGTTGAAATCTGTAGTTTTAGCCATCCAGTATTCATCGCTGCAAGACAGTGCAAAAGTATTAGTTATACAATAATTCGTCAGTGCTTATAAAGTTATGGGAGTGTGTAAAAAAACTTCAGTAAAGAGTTTTGTTTTGTATTACTTACCTGCTGTCTATTGACCAGAATTGCGTTATTCTTCTTCTATAATCTGGTTTCAGCATCTTGTACACTTGAAGTTGTGTCCAATTCACACTGCTGTCTATGTGATTTGTTGCTGGAAGGTCATCCGGTTGTGAAGAAGGCTCATATTTTAAATCCCGGTTGAATGATGGAATTTCACCCAAGACTTTCTTTCTGTTTTTTATCTTTGGCTTTGCTGCTTTTTGGCTTGTAGATCTTTCTTGTTGAGAGCATTGTTGCTTTTTAGAGCTTTAATATCTGTTTCTTGTTCTCTTTCTTTTGCCATTGGTGAAATATTTTTGTCCGGCAATGTGTCAATTCTGTCACTATGCTCATTTGTTTGTTGTATTGCCTCTTTTTGCACTATTGCTTCTTCAATTTGTTGCTTGTTTGATTCTGAAACTGGTTTGGCATTTTTCTTTTTCTTTTTCTTTAGAATTGGTTTGTCATTTTCCTTTTCCTTTCTCTTGATTGTTGTTGGTGGTTGGAGTGTTTGGCATCTTTTCTTCTGCTTCCTTGATTCACAATTGTTCTGTTCTTTAGGTTGTGTCTCCCTCTTCCTCTGCCTTTGTAGTGGTTTTTTTTTTTGCACCTTTTTTTTTGCAATTTGCATTGGTTTTCCAACTTCTTCTTTAGTAGTGGTGTCAATCTGTAGATGAATTGTCTCCTTCTTCGTACGTGATCTGTTTTCTATTTTTCCAAGCATTTTCCTTTGTTCTGTCCTCTTTGTTGTTTTGGTTATCATTTTGACATTGGCTTTGGTTGAGTTTGACATTTGTACAATTATTCTAACTGAAACCATCTATCAATATAGTTTTTATTAGAATGCAACTTGATCGTAAACAAATAAAAATCAGTATGAGTACACAATTATATTTGAAACATACCAAGGTGAATTACTATTTATGGAATTGGAAAACATTTTTATAACTGCATAAATCTTTATAAGATTCATATAACTAAATAAATTAGAAATAAAAATGTACAATAGGAGGTGTATTATGTGTAAGATCTGGAAAAATTGCAATTCTATTTATAAATGAAGCAATTGTAAACTGTTTCGTAAACACTGTTTATTAAACTTTAAAAAACACAAACTATTTACTGAATGTAAAAATTATTAACAGACAATCACACTAGTTCGTGCAATAGCGTAATATGTTTATACTACTTGTTCGTGAATGCATCCCAGATTTTACTATTTCCGTACATTTCAATTCTATTTACAAATGAAGAAAATTGTAAACTATTTCGTAAACAGTGTTTATTAAACTTAAAAATCGTGAACTATTTTACTCAAATGTAAAAATTACAAACAGAGAATCACACTAGTTCGTGTAATAGCATAATGTATGTTTATATATTGAACGATTAGCTAGTAAATAGTCTTTTTTTGGGTGGATCTGTGATGGATTCGTACTGTTAATAAATAACAAAATAAATTTAAGCAAATAGTATAATCTGGGTTTTGTTTAAGTTGATGCATGTTATTCTATATGCTTGATTCCAGTAGATGTTTGTTATATAAACAATGAACCGTATGATTTTGTGAAATATGTTGAGAAAAATTGTAAGATTGTTACCCTTTGTTTATTTTCTGGGTATTTCTGCGACCAAGTTGCTCAGCGAAGTTGAAATTTGCGTGAATTCGTCCGTAAAAGAACTGGAATGATGTACGAAATCGGGAAATGAGGATTGATGATTTGAGCTGGGGGCTGGGTTTTTGGTTTTTTTTTTTTATAGTGCATGCAATTTCTTCATCGTGAATGGCTTATCTGTGCGTGAAAATGGGAGTTGGTGTTAGGGAGAGAAAGTGAGGTTAGCGCGAGAGTGAAATGATGATTTTTGCTAGGCGTTAATTATGCGTGAAGGATGGGAAATTTGGGTGCTGATTTGGAACCAAAAAAAAAAAAAAAAAAACTGTTATTTTTCATTTTTTAGATATAGTGTGTACATATATTTCAGAAACAGTTTAAGTTATCTAGTTTTTTGTTTTGCATAAATTTATCTAATTTGGTAACTATATTCTTTAGATAATAAAAGGGAACTTTAACAAAAAAAGAAGTGTCAAAATGTAAGCATGTGAAATTTTTTAATATAGTTCTCATTCTTATAAGTTATAACTCAAAGAATCGGGTATGTGAAGTTGATTGGCTTCATACTAAACTTCTTTTTCATTTTTATATGGTTTCTTTAGATGAGTAATGGTATTAGGCTCCCTAGGGCAAAAAAATTATAAAACATACACAAGTATGGGATGGGCACCAGCATACAAGCCCACCTGAGCTTGGGGTTTTGTGTGTAGATGTACATTGATATAAAATGTAATTTGTAAAACTCAAGCTAATGTAATAAAATCCTCATCAGGAATGTCATCATATTGACCATGTTTATTTTGTTGTCTTCTGTCTTCAAGTATCTTCTTCAGTCCATTTGCATAACTATTCTTGTGATTCACAAGTGTAGTTGCAATTTGAGCTCTTTTGGCAAATACTTCTTCCTTCTCAAAGGTGGCTTCTATTGGTTTGCCCTCTTGCACTTGGGTTGCAAATTGAATGACAAATATGCCACAATCCAATCTGCATTTTTTTTTTTGGAAAGACAAATAAGTATGACATATAATGAGATCATATTATAACATTCGATGACATATTAAAAGTGAAAAATGAACTATTTCTTGTTCGTAACACTGTTATGCAAACTGAAACTATATCTGAAACTATATTATGACACTATTTTGCAAAGTCTAAATTTATAGTATAGTTTCGTACAATGATTTTGTTTTCTGTTTTCTATGTCTCATTTCCATATATTTTTAGTTAGATGACATATAATTACTGAAAAAAATGAACTATTTGTTGATTTGTAATACTGTTTCGTAAAGTGTAAAGAGTGAAAAATCAACTATTTCTGAAACTTCTTATGACATTATTTTGCAAACTGCAAACTATTTTTTCAAGTATGAGTCTTGTGTTTGTATATATGATTTTCATGGTCCTTCTTATGTGTTTGAATGTATAAATTTGATTGAAAAATATAGAGATCAACTTGTTGTTTGTACTTACGAGTCCTCCTTTTGTTGTGCGCAAGTTAAGCATCTTTGAATATCTATTGTGAGGTTGCTATCTCCTTTGAAATCTTTGTAAAATGCTTCTATTTTGTCTCTCTACCAAAAAAAAAACATAAAAAACAAAAAAAACAACAAAAAAAAGAAATTGTATTATGAAGTTTGATTTTTCCTATCAGCATAAGAATATAGTTTGTAATTGAGTTATAGTTTTGTTCTTACCACTTGCACAGCATGATCAAGTATAGGTCTGTATTCCCATGTACCCTCGGTAGTTTGGAATTGTAGTGTGTCATTTTTCCATTTTTAATGTCCCAAACTACCAAGCTGAAGTGAAAGTAACGCTTGATCAATATGAAGACCTTTCCTACTTTATCCACATTATCTTGTAAGACTGTCTTCAATGTTTTGTCAATGTGCTCCTGATCACTCTTGCTTTTCTCAATCTCCATATCATTCTGAACCAAGAATACACATTTAAAGTTTTAAAGTGAATGTAAGGCCTTTTGTAGGAGGCAAGTATACAAAGCAAACTAAACTACTATCAAAGTGAACTATTTAGCAAAGGGAACTAGAAAACCACACTTTGTTACCAAAGCAAACAAAACTACATATCAAAGTGAACTATTTAGCAAAGTGAACTAGAAAACCACACTTATTTGTAAACAAAACTGTTTGGCACTTACAAAGATGAATGAAGGAAGATACAGATTTTGTTGTTGCCTCATTTTTTATTCATTTTTTGCCATTGTGTAGAACGAATCATCAATTATGTTGGCGTCGATTGCTCCATCCACAAACAATGATGTCAGATCTGATTTTAGGACAACAAGGTCAGACGCCATGGACCCTTGCCTTAGTTGCATCCAGAAGTAGTCCCTGTATCAGAAAATTAAACATATTATATATCTATGTATATGTGTGTGTGTGTGTGTGTGTACACATGTATTAAGTTATGATTAATAATGTAAACTTACATTTTCTCTTGTCTGTAATATTCCTTGAATTTTTCTTTTGTCTCATCTTTAAGTAACTTGTACGCCCTTGTTGATGCAAGTAGATGATACCGTTTGTCAAGCTTTTGCTTTACAGGTTTCTTTGCAGCCTTCTTTGCAGGTTTGTTTGCTATTTCTTTAGCAATTGGATTCAAGGGTGATTCAACCTTGGGCTCCTCCTTTCCTTTCTCAATTATTGGTTCTAATGGTTGGCTTTCTGACGGAAAAATTGAAGGGCTTTCATTGTCACTCACAGCATATATGTATTTTGCCTTCTTTTGTTTTCTCTGGATAGGGATATAATCATAATGTGGATTGACATTTAGTTTACGATCATCACTCATTCGAATATTTTTTACCAGTGTTCTCGTCTTCTTTTTGGCAGTCTCTTTTCCTTGCTTTTCAGCATCCTTGATAGTTGGAGTCTGCATTTGAACATCTTGTTGAACTCTGGAGGTTCCTTTTGCAATGGCAGTGTCTTTTCCTTCATGTTCTTGATCCTCCTCAGCTTGATCCTCCTTATTTTCATCTGGATCATGATCAGTTGCATGCCTTTGTTTTGGATCCTCCATAGCCACATCATTTTCAGTTGCATTCTCTTGAACTGGATCCTCAGTAGCAGTATCCTTATCATGTGTATGCTCTTCAACTTGATCATCATTATCTGGATCTTCTTTAGGTGGTTCATCCTCCTCTGGATCTTCCTTGGTTGAAGCATTTAGATCTGGTACTATTGCTTAATTTTCCAGTAGCTTCTTCTTCAAACTTCCAATTTCATCCAGAAGTTTATTTACTTTCATAGAAGCTACTATGTTCTTTAATTGTAACTGTATCATTTCAAAATTCATTGAACTAATCTTCTACTTGTCCTCAAGTCGTTCTTGCAGAAGCTTTTCAATGTTTCTGTTGAGGGCTCCAGTTGTTTGATTCATTACAATTGAATTTGTGTGTAGGTTGTCAAGTGCATATATCATCATGTGATTGAGGACTAGATACCTCTTTTGATCCATGCTCGCACATCTTTTAAACTTTTCAAAATCTTCCACACCTAATGTGTTATCAATCCCGATGAAGTCCTTTTGATAAATTGCATCAAATTTCATCAATTCTTCTTGGTACAGTTGATCAAACTGTAACTGAGCTTCAGTGATGGTGATGCTTTGATCTTCTTCAGCTCCAACTTTAGTTCTCTTCCTTTTCCTTCCTGTTGTCTTATTTTCCTTTTTCTTGGATGACTCATTATTTTGTTGAGGATAAGAAATGGCATTACATTCTTCTTGGTTTATGTTGGAATGCTCCTTTGTTGGTTCTTCAGAACAAGGAATACCTCCACCAATATGCACAGTGACACATTAAATAGTTGTTAAATTACATAATAATGTCATTGTTTCGTAAACATTGTTTATTAAACTTTAAAAAACGCAAACTATTTACTGAATGTACAAATTATTAAAAGAGAATCACACTAGTTTGCGTAATAGAGTAATATATGTTACTATTTATTGAAATACACTTTTCTTTTTTACACTATTTCTGTTTTATATAAATGACACTATTGCTGGATCTGTTTTATATAAATGACACTTTTGAAACTTTAAACTGTAAAGATCACTATGTTATGAAACTGTAAAGTGCAAAAATATACTGTTTATTGAAATACTTTTATTATTTGTCCTTACCTCAATTTCTTCAACTCGAATGTTTCTGATTGCTTTATGGATTTTCGTTATGTCCCATCGT